ATATATATTAAATTTTAAATAATTATTTTTAATTAATAATTATGAATTTATTTTATTAATTAAAATGTATTTTCTCATTTTAAAGAAGTTAATTCTAAATATTAAATTAAAAAAAATTCAACTCTTTTATTTATTTTAAATATACTTTACGGGGAAAGGTATTTTTTCTTTAAATTTTTTAATATTTTACCACTTTTTCTGGATTATGTTTATACATATTAATTATTTTTTATGAACCAAATACTTTTAAATATCCTACTTGATTACTTAACTAAATTAGAATCAGGTTTGATGAGGTCACCTTCAAAGTAAAATGATGGACATAAAGCTTAAAATTAACTTAACCTAAATTGATTATTATTTATATATTTTCTCTCTCTCACACACTTTATATATATATATATATATATATAGTGAGAGTTAGGTTAGTATCTATAGATATTTTAAAAAAAATTGTCTAATAAATATATACAAATCTGTGATGGGCTGGATTGATCAATGGATTTAAACTCATTTTGATAGCTCTAGGTGCAACATAATATATCTTTAATGTATAAATCAAATTTATAAAATTTTAAAAAAATTAAAAATTATTTAATATTTTATTTATTTTATTTAAAACAACGGATAATCATAAAAATATTTTATACATTAATTTAAATTAATAAAATAAAATATTAAATAATTTTAAAATTTTTAAAAATTTACATATTTAATCTAAGAGATTTTAATTCAATAGTTAAATTATTAAAATTTGATATAAGTCATGAATTATTGAGTAAAATAAATCTAAATAGACTTATATATATATATATATAATGATTTTGAACAACTCTTGTACTTAATTCTAAATAATATAAAAGTATTAGGATTAAACTAATAGTTAAAATAAAATAAAATAAAATAAAAATAGAAAGACCTAAATTCGATTTTATCTGTATTAATCTTTCTTAGATTAAAAAAATATATATATCTAAACAATAAACATATATATGCATACATTCTCTTATACGAAGCATGGAACACTTTTATTAACATGCCACTTCTTCAGTAATGTTAAATCATTTCCCGCATCAAATGCTACCTTAGTTTGACCAAAAAAAAGATGCCAGCTTAGTTTAAAATATGCATTTAAGATGAAGAGTGTATGTAATGTAGTTCTAATAGTGCCATTGATCAACCTCTTCATATGCTACAGTGGTGCGGTCAATCACAGGATTAAGCAAGGTTATCTCAACTTTTTTCCAATCGGATATCTATGTTACCTTTCCATGGCCAAAACACAGATATTTTAGGTTCTTCAAAATTGAGTGGGATTGTTTTGCACAGAATAAGCGCGTACGTAGCATTAGCATAATCTAAAGATAAGGGCGCCCAATCAGTTTGGTTCTTTATATCTGAACTGAACCAAAAGACATTAGAAGCATCTCCTTCTCTTATTGTAAAAGTGTTGAAAGAATATGACTTGGCCTAACCGCACTAAGACACTATCTAGATACAAAAGGTAAAATAGACCTTTAACTGAAAATGCCCATTTCCTAATGACTTTTCTCACTTCCTATTACCATATGATATGATATGGAGTTTTGGACCTTATTCTTTTCTTTTTTCATTGGGTCGATTTCATATGGACGGTTCTTTTTGCACTTTGTGGTGCATGTGCCCTTGATTTGATTCCAAATTCCTATGACCCTTGATGATTGCTTGGGGGCAGGTATAGAGCCATAAACAGTAGTTTCTCATTAGGAATGTGTTTAAAAAGTACCACCGGTGCAAATGTTTTGGACTTCCTAAGAGGTTCCTTGTAAACCATTTTGTTATCACAACTTCACCATTTTGTAAGATGTTTTGGAATTCATGACCCTTATTGCTCAAGTTGCCACATGCCAAGGTGTTAAGCACGGTCTTCTAAAGTGGAATATTCAAAAGGAATCTCCACAAATTCTTACAAGCTGAATTCTTATAGTGCACTTGCAAAGGCTCTGATGTTGATATTAGTATTTGCAGGATACTAGTTAGTAGAAGGTAAAAATTAGAGAGATATATTAGATTTTATGTGGTTTAATTATACCATTATTAATTTGGTTATCATGATGTTTCTTAGTTGAGATAACATGGGAAACTAGGCAAATGTTGAGAGAATAATTACCTCTAACAAATTTTGGGCTTTTATTTAGTGTTTTGTGATTGTCATTCTCAGCTGAAAGGTTCTCTATAAGTACTTTTGGGGCCTAATTATTCGGTTTTAGTTATTAGACCGATACATTAACTTAATTTGTCAAACTGGACTTAAATTTTCCAGAATCCAAAACACAACACATGAAACCAAAGCTTGAACTTCTGACTCAATCTAATCCTGCACCTATTTCTTTTTTCTTTTTTCTTTTTTCCAATAAGAAGAGCACCGTAGGAAATGCTTATTTTGTCCATGCTATATATATCCATGAAGTATCATCCTCATGAGAAGATAGAATGCTATTGCTACTTAATCAAACCACATGTCACAAGTTTACTTCAGACGCCTAAACTTCATTAGGAAACAACACCAATGCTTTTGTCACTAGAGGTTTTAAGCATATGTAAGAGAGTTTCTGAATTTTAGTTTTTCTATATGGTATATCATTAATTAAGCTCGTGTAATTAAGATGGGGGCATCAAACATCACCAATAGCAACTTTCATGTGTTACACAATTTTTTGTAAATGCTCGTACGGATCTGCAGTATCAGTATGTAATTGCTCTTCTATTATTTTTTCTAGTCACTGTCTCTGAAATAAAATTGTTTGCCTAGTGGATTCCTTGCATTTAAACAACAAGCTAGGCCAATCTACAGCAACTGATAGTGCTTATTATTAATAGAGAATATTTTTTACTACATTAGACCTGTTCAGATACTTATTCATTTTTTTTTTGGTGGCATGCAATATAGTTTGCAGAATATGATACCAATTTTCAAGGAATCCAGTGAAAGCTCCACACTGGTAGACTTTACACCACTGATTGAACCATCTATGCACCATTACAGTTAAATATTTGTAAAATGGGTGTGTACGTGTCAGCTTTGTCTTTTGTGTTTGTGATGACAATCGAGAGATATTAACCGATGAAGGTGGATGTGGAACTATCCTAGCTACTTCCCAATATTGAACCACTAAAGTGGGTTTTTTCACATTAGTGCTTTTTCATAAAGGTTTTTAAATCACAACAACATTAATGCTTGTGGGGAAAACATCACCTAAAAAGTGTAGATCAAAATAATGCATTCATGCTCATCCAGAATATGTTTTAACTTTCAACACCACACAACACAGTCACCCCAAATTTAAAGTTTCTTTTTTAAATATCAAGTTGTCAAAGTAAATCTAAATCCCCATTTTGATGTCATCCCTCCATGCTAATTAACTTTCTACTCTTGCTGCTAAATAACACAATTAAAGATCAGACTTGAAGGATTTTGAGAACTTTTTCAACACCAAAAGGTCGATCATGGCCCACAAACCTGTTTCATATCTAGAACGGTAAATAAATGGTTGAGAACAAAAGCCACTGTCAAGATCAACTGCTGCAAAAGTGCCAAGTTTGGCTGTTTATTGTCTATAACTATAACGAGAAATTGTAATTTAGAGGATACTTTAAGAAGATATATAACTAAATTTGATTGAGAGAAGAGGGAGGAATAGAGGCTTTTCTACATAGTAGAAATCATAGCTGCAGAATATAGATAATTCAATTAGTTTGTTACTTTATCCTAGGAGGAAATGACATGCATGTCAAAATCAAAAGTCTATTATCCCCCTTCTCCCCAACACTAAAAGTACTAATATTTTGAAGCTTCTTGGAATCTATTTATTAATTCTTCTTGTTAAGCTGTCAGAGGGCATAGAAATATTTTAAAGTTAGATTTAGTGGATCTTTGTCTGAAGCAATGTGATTTGGTGACAACCTTTGCATTACTGAAGCGCAAAAAGCAATTAGAATTTGGGGGTAACCTTTGCATTTAAAGAGGGGGAATGGAAAACTTAGTTTAAGAGTTGATGAGCATATGTGAATATAACTTTTTCCTCTTAAACTTAAACGTTAAACCTAGGAGATAGAGATAGTGCTTCCACACTCTGACTAGCAATTCAGGAAGAAAAAGGATATTGAAAGGTAGATTTAAGTATAATTGGTCCTCCACTATTAATAAAATAATCATTT